ATGCCGGGAGTAACGCATTCTAACCCGTTAGCTACTACATCTGAGTATAGCTGATCCTATAGCTCTTCAATGGCACGTGGTACCCCTTTGTTACGAAATTTTTTAGCTTAAGGTTTCTTCTACACAATATCATAAACTATTAAATCAAACAAATTATTAACTTTTCTTTAATTTACCAATTATGACTATGTGAGAAAACAACTAACCTTGATTTTTATCTCCCACCACTCATTGGAACAATCAAGCTTTCTAGTTATGTAATCCCAACCTAGGCCAGTTTCAGATTGCTTCAAACCTTTCCAAATTCTCCAATCTCTCTTCATTTGATCATACTTGTTTTTTAAACTTCTATAATTATTAACTTTCCGATTAGTCCTCGCCTCAAAGTCTTTGGCAATGTCTCGCAATTTGAATAGTTGATTGTGGCCATTCTTAGCAACGAACGCCAAACATAGCTCCAACAATACAATCATAAAATCGTTTGTCCAGTTAAATGTCTTTCCCTCCACATCATCACGGCCTTTGTTTTTTGATTGTCTGCATCATCATTACTTGATTCCATCTATAATATAGAAAACACACACATTATAATACTACTTCAAGGTTTTTAAGAATTAAAAGAAAATGTCGACAATTTGTTCTATTTCATTTAAAACAAACACCAAAATATAGAACTGAAGCAACGTTTCTAATCATAATGAAAAAGAGCTTAGTAAAAATTAATTAATACATGATTAAGAATGGGCCGTGAGGGCTTATTAAAAAAAAACCAACAAGCCTTAAACACAAAACATCTTTTACATGGTTCTATCCTAAAAGTTCATCCTTACATGGTTCTCTCCAAACAGACTGTAATTCCTTACTTTTAGGATAGAGGACATAGCGGCAGGTCTATACTCTCTTTCTCAAGTATTTTGCAGCTTGTGCAGTTGTTCTTTTATTCTGAATTGTTCAGTTTTTCCCACTGGTTAGATGCTTGGATGTCATATTTCATTCAAAAGAGAAAATAAGCATGTTAAATAGGCTATAGAAAAGAGATCAGAGTTCATTCATCTTGCACTTTAAAACAATATAGAAGAGACAATACATGAGAAATCATTCTCAGTGACGACGTCAATACGCGAGAAATCATTGTCACGATATTGACAATACATGAGAAAGAGAGGCGTCCAGATGTAACTATACACTTTCATCAAGAAAAATAAGGTAACGAAGAAGAATACATACCTAGCGGACTCACAAAATTGAGAGCGGCGGTGATCAGATCGGGGAGAGAGCGCGACCTTCTATTTTGTCGACGGCTGAAGGGTTTCACACGTGAAATAAAAAAGAGCTAGGGTTTTTTTAGGTGGGGTAGTAGCTTTCATTTGGCCTAATTATTAGGGGCAAAAACGAAAGGAAAAAAATTCACAGCTCCTTCCCAAAGACAAACGCTACTTGAGATAGCTTTCCAAAAGCTACTTGCAAAAGACACAATCTCCAAAATAATCTTCTCCTATTTTTCATCACCAAACAGCTCTACTAGCTTATTGACCAAGTCAATAAGACACAAGCTCTTAGATAAGACGCATTTTTTGGTTGCCAAACAGTGCCTTAGTTTTCATTAGCGAAGCTTTGAGTGTGTTAAGGCTCTGTTTGGCAAAACTAGCTGAAAGCTGCGAGATTATAGCTGAAAGCTGTTAAGCTAGCTGAAAGCTGATAGCTGTGTAGCTAGCTGATTGACTAGAGCTGTTTGGCAAAAATAGCTGTATAATTAGCTTAAATTTGTTAAATGACTAAAAAGGACATGTAATATTATTGATATAAAATTAGAATTATTAGGAGCAAAAACGGAAGAAAAAAAATTAGCAGCTCCTTCCCAAAGACAAACGCTACTTGAGGTAGCTTTTCAAAAGCTACTTGTAAAAGACACAATCTCCAAAATAATCTCCTCTTATTTTTTGTCACCAAACAACTCTACTAGCTTATTGACCAAGTCAATAAGACACAATCTCTTAGATAAGATACAATCTCTTGTTGCCAAACAGTGCCTAAGTCCACGATGTTTGGGTCATTGAAATTTTATTTTGAAGAATGGATTGGTAAAGGATTGCTTCTTGGCAGTCATTAATATTATTGTCTACTAGTGTGCACCCCGTGCAAAGGATAGCCCCCTATTTTTTTAAGCACTGTATTTTGAGTTTGTTTCAATCTAAGTTTTAATACATTTAATTTGATTATTGTATGCTTAAAATTAGAAATCATATCTACCCCTCTATACTTAGAGAACCCAAGTTTTAAAACATTTGATTTAGAAATCATATCGACTCCTCTATATTTAAAGGAGCATCCAAGTTTTAATATATTTGATTTGCTTTACTATTTATGATATAGTAAAAACTGTAGCATAAATAATAACTTCAAGTATGAAGGGGCAGATTTGATTTACTGTTTATGATACCGAAAATTGCTGTAGCATGACAATACCTCAATTGTAGAGGGCAGATTAGATTCAATGTTCATGCTATATTAATTTGCCGTAGCATTTATTGTAGTATAAACAGTGATTTTTGAATCCTCCTTTAAATATAAAGAAGTAGATTTGGTTTTCAACATTTTTCTGATCAAACTAAGTGATATTGTAAGTTACGTCACAAAGAGAGAGAGAGGGGGGAGAGATAATTTGATTCAACAACCAAAATGAAGGATGTTATTGATGATCGTCTTCCAAATCATACACAGCTTGAAATAGATCTCCCCAAATAATACGATTTGTGATTAGGTGTCTCAAATTCAATACGTATTTTAAATTAAACTCTTTGCCTATTTGGTTAACACTTACTAGTTTAAGGATATTCCTCGAAATTTTCTACTTCATGATAAAATGTGCATTAGAAGAAAAAAAATCTCACAGCATCATGTGGGCATAAGCCGCATAACACTAGTATGTAACTACAGAAGGCATGTCTGTGCATTGCGCATGTGCATGCCACACTACTCCATCGATAACAACTATTCTCTTGATAAACAAAAGGGGTAATTGCATATTAATCCCTTACATCAATCTTAATTTTCAAATAGTCCCTCAAATCTCATTATTTGCTTACATTAGTCCCTTAAATCTTCAATTTCATTGTCATATAGTCCTATTAGATAATCTATTAATTCCTCTAACTCTAGTTGGGTTTTGCATTAACCAAATATCTCAAATTACCTTAGTGCCTTGGGTGCACCTTTCCCTCTAAAAGATCCATTGTTCGCAAATTAGTCCTGCTCTCTCAAAGGGGAATCGACTCGGATTTGGGTTTGGGGTGGTAGAGGACCATTGAAGAAGGACTTAAGGGGTTTGGGTTTTAAAGTGAGTTTAAACCCATTATAAACTGGGCCGGCGGGTTTATAAATGATAGAGTTAATATGAGTGGAGTATAATGGAAAATCTACTTGCTTCCGTTACATTTCACTCTCGTTATTAACAGCACCTAACAAGAGGGGTTAATTGACAATAAAATTGAAGATTTAAGGCACCAATACGAAAATAATGAGATTTGAGTGGCTATTTGACAATTAAGGTTGATGTAAGGAACTAACATGCTTCAAACGTACAACTATTCCATCTAAAACACCATTCGGTAATTCGTAGGATAAAAACGTGGTGATCCTCACTCTCTATTGTTAAATACATACATGAAGTTTGTTTATCTATTTCATTATAGGTAATTATGTATCATTAATCATTTATCAAGTCTAATTTGAAGTTTCAGTACATATTGTTTCTAGGTTTATCGTATCGCCACTAGCAAGTTCTTTCTTAAGAGTTTGTAGAGGTGGCGGCGTTGGAAATGGTGGTAGAGGGTGGTGTCAAATGTCAATGTGTCAAGTGACACTTTTTAGCAAAAAATTAAACTAGTATATATTAGCTTATGGCTCATTTCTAACGCCATTATAAAGTTAAATAGTAAGTAATTATCCGTTTAAGACTTATTTCTAATATGCCAAGCCTTAAATGGCCTGGTTTCAAATACTCATCTATGAAATAGTTAACTTCGTCATTTTAAAAAATAACAATACACGACAAGGTAATTTATATTGAAAAGGATCATACGTGAGACTGAATGGTTTATCAATGGATGAATGAAAGATTAGTAATTTATATTGAAAAGAATGTATTTAGTGGTATTTTGAATGAGACTATAATGCAGAGATTTTAAAACATGAGGACACGTAGGGGTCAATTGCACTTGTACTTAGTTAAATATATCATTTGTATCTTATTAAAGTTCTTGAATGTATTGAATATAAGAGAAAAACAATATCGTTATTTAATATATATATTGTGACACCACTATTATGCATTTCTGACACCGCCCCAGTGACAGACAGCAGTGAACGAATCATAGGATCAAGCTTATCGCTTTAACGGTGACATCCGTGGTTGACGGATGATCGATCTTACCAATAAATGGATTTTCGTTTTTTTTACATGTTTGAATTTGAATGTTGGAACTTTGGATTTCAGAAAGAAGGAACGGAAGGATGATTAGCTTGTAAAAATTGTAGATCACGTACACAACATTTTGAGGCTAATTGGTTCTATATTTTTATGATTAACTAATTTTTCAAATATTGATGATGGCAACTAATGTACACTGTTTATCCTATGACGCAGAAGTTCTGATATTTTCAATACTTCGCACACTTCAAATTCTTAGCCATGAATGACAAATTTTGGTTTGAAGGAGCAAAAGAGGTTAAAGCTTAAGAAAGGCCCAAGGCAGTCATCAAAGAAGCAAAAACCAAAGCCCAAGGCCTGTCCAGGACTTACTTGGACTTGACTTCCCGCTTAGTCCACTAGTAGCTTGTTGCTTCGTCCATAGTTTCTTATACCGCGTGGGTCCCATCTTAAAGACCCAATCACCTTCGTCGCTCCTTCCTACAAATCCTAATCCTACGGAATCCGCGAGACAACGTACCGCTCCGGGACACCATAAATAAGCCGCTCCCCTCGCATTCCTCGATTTTTCATCGATTCCATTCACCCTTCTCCTCTCCTCTCTCGAAACCCTAGCCTCCGCCTCCAGCGTCGCAAAGCGCGCTCTGCTCATCGATTTCCCGCGCTTTTTTTTCCTTCTGAACCCTAGAGATCGATCATAATCTCCGATCCCTTCGTCTCCTCCTCGATTCCTGTTTTTTTATCCGGCGATATTTCGGAGAGTTGGGGACTGAAGATTGCGAGGAAAGATGTCTCGGTGCTTTCCCTATACGCCGCCGAATTATCAAAGGGAGGAGGAGAAGTCTCTGGCCAAACCGATCAAGGTTTGTTGAGCACGATGATGATTTCTTGAGTTTCTGCTCGACTTCCTTTGATTGATTGGTTCGCTGGTGGGATCTGCTTGTGTAAAATTTCAGAAATTTAAAGAACCGATCAAATCTGTGAATAAAAAACATTGTACAGGATCAAGACATTGCTGTTGTTTTTTGTATTATGTATTTGCGGGATTTTGATAAGTTTGTAGGTAGGGTTAACTACTATTTGATATTGATTGCGTGTGTACATGCAAGCGCCTAAAATTGATTTGGGTTATCTTGGTTTGAGTTGAAGGGTATAAGCAACCGTAATTCGTTTGTTAAAGTTGTTGAGAAGATGATGGATCAGATGGTATGGTGTGAATTGTGGATGTTGAATATTAGATTGGGTGATGTTCAAGTTTTGATTGTGTATAAGGACCTTTGGCTGTTTGGTTACCGTCTTGATTTTAGCCGAGCTGTCGGTAGTGGTCTATTACCATTTTCTTGATTCACTTGGGAGGTGTTCAGTGTATGCAGAAACCTTATGCTTGACAATTAACAAGTTAAAGTTGTAGATATGTTGGAGCATATGGTGACATGGTTTGGATGGTCAAAGAGATGACCTGTGCATGCTTAATTACATACTTAGTTCTCTGAGGCGAGATAAGATTGGGCGGTGTAAATGGGTTTAGAATTACAACCTCAAAAGTATCCCTATAATCTCAAAAATAATGAGATGAAACGCCAATAAGTTGTGGCATAATTAATAAGTGACGGAAGATAACAATTATTGTTTAATGATTGCAGAGGATACAGCTACGGAAGCAGTGTGAATTGCTCAAAATCAGAATTTAGCTAACCTTGGATATTTGCCCGTTTGTTAGAATGGGTCGAAGAGTGGTGTATATCCATCCAGATAGTTATATCAATTGTCATGATTAATTGGTTTAGTCATATGAGAATCATTCCAGTAAGCTACTTAAATTTCCCAGTGTTTAATGTGAGAGAAGTTAATTTATCTATTCCGCTTTTTTATTTTCTCTTTTCTGTATATGGGATGATTATTCCATGCTATTCCATTTTGTGGTAGTTCAGTTAACCTACCTGATCTCTTTTACCTTGCCATTTCCTGGAATGCCTAGGTTGTCTTTCTTCTTGGGTTTCTATGTGGGGAAATATTATTTTCGTCAGTTGAGGCTTATGTAATTCTTTCAATATCTTTTTTGTTGTCCACTTTTTTTTAACCAAATTACCATAGGTTTTGCTAATAATTTTGTGGCTGATTCATGCTTGGAAACAACAATGGATTATCAAATCCTTTTGAAACCTTTTTTAGAATGCCTACTGTTGTGCCATTTGTTTTTATGTAATAATTCACTGCCAATATGGATCATCAATTGACATCAGCTTGTATAAATTCCTGTGTGAAATTATCTGTGAAATTAAGTGGTGCATCGAATAAAGATGTCATACGTTATGATATTTACAATGCATGAAAGAATGTGGATTAGTTGTTGCATCGGCCTGTCACACCATTCTTGAAGGTAAGCTGGATATTATCCATGGTAGAAGTTATAGTTTGCAGTTAAATCTGGTTTCAGACCGACCAAGTATGTGCCACAGTTCCCTAATCTCTTCTTCCAGATCCAATGCAGAAAGATGTGCAGCTTTCTTGAAACCTAAAAGGTTGATGAGATTTTTGCAGGACATAACGCGAGGTTAATTTTATTAATCTATTTTGCGAAGTGGTTAAATTGCATGTGAAGTTGTTTGATGGAGGGATAAGCAAAACCAGTGTTTTAGGTAGAAGCTGCAGAATAAAAGGCATAATGAAAATTTTTGTCAATGGAAATCAAGTTATGGGAATTTACCTTCAAAATTTGTTGATAGGAATATTTTAAAACCGGTTGTCTTTATCATCATCTCTCACTTCTCATAGAAAGTATTGTTTGTCGTAGAGTGACGGTATACGAATAACGAAAGAATGTTTCTTCCGCTTCACCCAGATGGGTTGTATTCTTTGTGCTTTAGGGTGTTTTTGCTATAAGATAAACTTGCTATGTCTATCTATTTATGAATATTGATGCATGTTGAGGAAATTTGAGTGTACTATGAAAGATATTGATGAAGTTTAGGTGGTGGTGGATTCTTTAAATCAGCTGTTAATGTCTAATGCTGAGCATGTCTAGTTATGGCAGTCTCTTTTGTTGAGCATAAGGATGAAGGATGAGGTGCCATGCACAATAAATTAAGAGATACTGAAAAGAGAGCAATTGCTTGTAGTTAATGGCTGTCAGCTATATTGGGAAGTACTTCTTTATGGTGTTAGATTTAAGGATGTGGAGGATAAGGATGTTGAGCTTCTGGTTCTAGTCCATGATCAATGTTTGGCTCTTAAGCATCAGCAAGAAGTTTGTTTCCATTCCATTAAAAGTTGAGTGATGAGTTTGGATGCTCATCTTTGCTGCTTATATAGCTTTAGGTAGCAAGAAAGACAATAGGGTAAGATAGTTTGATTTCAGGACAGGTGATATTAGTACAGAAATTAGATCTTTGGTGCAGTTGAGAATTCTGTACTGAGTGATAGGTTTTTTGTAAGCTTGTTAGGCTATCAACATGGATAGCATCACTGGATTATGTCCTTTATGGAAACATGTAATATACTGACCATGTTTTCAAGCTTCATGTCTTTGCAGTTTTTTTTTTATTTTTTTTACAGAGCTTTTTTCCATTAATAATAAGAAATACTGCTTTCACACAAACAATCACCCTGTTAGGAAAATGGATGCTTATAACTCTTGGACAACCTTAAATTCATGAACTGGATGCTTGTGATTGCTTTCGAATCATATATATTGTACGGGCATTGACAAATTTCTGGAACACTGAAACTCCAGAAAGAACTAGAAACGACAAAGGAGAAGAGGAAAGAGAAAAGAAGCAAGAAGAAGGAAAGGAAAGAAAAGAGGGATAAATCCAAGGACAAGAATGAGACTTCAAAACACAAGGAACATGGCCACAAGAAGCGGAAGCATGAGGAAAGAAACAAGCAGGAGATCCAGGACGGCCACAAGTTAGTGACTTCTACAAATTCAACTGAGCAGTTGGAGAAGAGTGGGCTAACCGAAGAGCATGGAGTGTCATGTCATCCTACACAGGAACCCTGTGAATCCTCTGAAAGCACTCAGAACAGTTCCAAGAAGAGGAAGGTCGAAGCTACCAATATTGTCAACGGTGATAGCCATCGTAAGCTAACCAATAATACAAATTTTTTTTCTTTGAGCTTTATGCATATCTTTTTCCAATCAATAACTAAAGCTGAATTTCCATGGCTTCTAGGTAATGCCATTCTACGATTCAAGTTCTCATTTCAAAAACATAAAGACCCGAAACCAACTCCTGCCATTGAAGAGCCATGTATCCCATGCCGGACCACTTCCAAAGATGCAGCAGCGACTCCTGCAAATGAAGAGCCATGCTTTTCAGGTTGGGCTACTGAAGCACCATTAGGTCTAGAAATATTTAAAGTAGCTCCGAGCAATCACAACCTGGTTGGCAATGCTCAAGCTGAGTCCTGTGCTATGATCAAGAGCAACAAGGCAACTGAAGCACCAAAAGAGCTAGAGCTGGTTGACCATTCTCACAGACCCGCAAGTTCTAGTAGCAAGAGCAGCAAGAGAGCTCAAAAACTAGAAAGACGCTTCAGAGACCTTTTAGGGAACTGGAAACCTGCACCATTTCTTCTGGATGCAGAAGCTGGGACTGAAGACCAAGGGTGGCTTTTTGCAAACCCCAGGCAACATCAGGCAAATTCTGATGCTCAGAGTTGCGGTCTGAGCAGAACTAGTGAAGCCCTGAGCCATTCTTTCCAACCTAGGGCATGCTACTTGCCTGAGCTTGAAACGTATCAGCTGCCATATGCTGTACCATTTTGAACTTTGTAATTCATGACGGCGCTTAGCATATACTCAGAATTTGAGGGGTGTCAGAGAGTAGAATGTTGTGGAGGGAGGCATTTGTTTTTTTCCTCATTGCCTGATATCTGGTGTTCTATGCGTTGATCAGTTGTATATAGCATTTGTTTGGGATATGCCCCCATTCTATATCAATATAATCTGCAATTTTTGCACTTGCATGTCTACTTTTATGTTTTGCGGTTGCCTTTTGTCATTAGCATGTTTATGTTTATGGGTATATTCTCTGGTTTGCTGGGAAACCTTTTTGATGTTCATTGATATAGATTCTATGTAGAAGATCACAACAGATGTGAAAACAAAAAATAGAAGGAGTGGTTTTCATTCACTCATCAACTAGAATAGATAATCAACTGACTGCTTCAATTTCTACACTTACCCTACTTTATTCTCCTGGCATCATTCGAAAGATCACCATTTGCCCAGCTTTTACTCATAAAAGGACATTCAAGTCTCATCCTGCTATTGTCATAGCCAATCCAGACAAGAGAAAGCTATGCCGAAAGAGAGTTCTCTGTAATAAATGGCACAGCTTGAAACGTGATCATGTCTTTTTGACACAAAAATACAAGCATGTTCAAATCCCGCTTCTCCTCTGGTTTTATTAACAGATATTCTGTTACTGATTCGACAGTTGGAGTGTTTTGCTTAATCCCTGTGAAAGAAAAGTTCAGACAATGAAGCCATACTTACTCAAATCAGAGGATACAACTGTTAACACAAAAAAAATAAAAATAAAAATAAAAAAACCCCACAAAAGACACATCCTTTGTGTATATTATTCTTATGCAAAAGATTTGAATACCATAAGGTCCAACATAGGATGACGTCCTGTAGGCTGCTCTCACAGTTGAAATTTCTCTCAGAACGAAAGACAGAAAAAACTTCAGAACCAAAAGATACAACTAATTGCAATTTCCTTTATTTTTCTTTTCATTTTCCTGAAACAGACCACTCCTGTATCAGTAAATGTAACAAGATACGTCGCACGAGATTGAGCCTGTCAATGCTCTCCCCTTTGAGGTGGGCATATGTAGGCTTGAATTTTCCCGTGGATGCCTCTGCTGTAATAAGAGAACTAAATATACACAACAGCAAACTGTACAAACACATCAAAACCCAAATAATCAACAAACAGAAGGAGGAGCTAATCAAAACTTGAAGATCGACTCCATCGTTCTTTCAAGTAATCATCCAAGGAACTGAGATGGTTTTGTTCGAAGCTAATTATGGACGCATCGTCATCCTCCACATCAAGCAATGCTAGGCCTAAATGTGATCCTATGCTAGGAGATAAATAGAACTCTTCATCTTGGTAATCCAATTCGTTGTGCGAATTATTAGCTTTGGAATTTATCCATGACTCAATCTCTTCTTCCCCTTGTAGAAGTCTGAGTACCTGCTCCATAAAAAGAATGTATTAGATCAACATGACAGAAAAATAGTTGTGTAGTTGTTTATCTATTTATTTTATTCGAACCTGGCTCATTTGAGGGCGAAGATGTGCCATTCTTGAGATACAGAGAGAGGCAACCAATACCATTCTTCGCAATTGATTCTCATCATATTTACCTTCGAGATTGGGGTCAAAGAAATCTCTGAAATCTCCTCTCTCTAGTATTGGTGTGGCCTAAGTAACCAAAGATACATAGAACATGGTCAGACAGCTATTAATCGATAATGGCCCTTTTGGCTTTAGAGAAAGATGTTGGAAATATCGTTGAAAATTTGATAAAAATGTCATAACACAGAGATTCTTACCCACATAACTAAACTCTCTTGGCCCTTGGGGTTCTCATCACAAATTGGTTTTCTGCCTGTTAATAGCTCAAGCAAAACAACTCCATAGGCATACACATCTATCTTATTGCTTACCTTGCCATACATAAAGTACTCAGGTGCAAGATATCTGTCAAAATATCCCTTTCTTCAGATTTAGACCCTAAAATCACAGTTTCAGATAGATTATGTACAGAAAAAATTGTAAGAGATTATGAGCACATACCCAAATGTTCCAACAACATCAGTATGTGCTTGGGATAATGAATTCATTGGTGCCCATATAGCGAATCCGAAGTCAGATATCTGCATGTATACACATAGAAATAAACCCTCATCAATTATTATGCTAAAAGAATAATGACATTATCGATGATCATTGTTTAGGACAAATTAGTACCTGTGGTTCGAAATTATCATTGAGAAGAATATTCGAAGACTTGACATCTCGATGAATAACTGGTCTTGAACTACCATTATGCAAGTAGCTCAGTGCTTCTGCAACTCCAACAGCAATCTTAAATCTTTTATGCCAACTTAATGGAGGTTTAGTTCTATTACCTGTTTCCATATCAAGTCAAATGTTAACAAATTCATTTCAAGTAAAATTTATGGAACCAAACTAACAAATTTCGTACCATGGAGGTTTTCCTCCAAACTTCCTTTGGAGAAATAACCGTAAATGGAGAGAAAAGTTTGGCACTCAATACAAATACCCAACAAAGGAACGACACGCTCATGTTGCAATTTAGTAATTATATCGGCCTCCAAAAGAAAATCTCTTGATGTTTCCTTGGATAATTTCGACATCTTTATTGCCACTTTATCTCCATTAGGGAGGCATCCTTTGTAAACTTGACTACTCCCTCCTTTCCCAATCAAATAATCTATTCATAACCGAAAAATTATAATCAGCTCAAAATCGATGTAAATATCAAAATCTGTTGTGCCTAAGCAAAGGAAAAAGACCTGCAGAAAAGTAATTGGTTGAGATCTGAAGTTCTTCATATTGAAACCATTTGCAAGTAGAAGAATTGCTATGAAGAACAATCTCCAACTCCTTGATCAGGCTATTCGTTGCAGAATGCAACAAAGATCTATCTGGCAAGTTCATAACCCACTGAACTACTGACATTTTTCGAGCTTCATTCTCTTTCAAAGCCTCGATATTTGCTGTCAATGCTTTTCTTAACAGTGGCCATCCTGGCTTTGACTCTGGCAATTTCTTCACTAGAACTGAAATTCTGCTCGAATCATATACAACAAGTTGGCGATCACTTGAAACATTAGGCTTCTCTCTGAAGCTAGGGACGATGGCTTTTGTGTCCATTCCGACACTAGGATGCAATATACTGCGAAGATTTGGCTTCGATTCTTGTCCTGGTTTTGGGTAAAAATTATTCAATTTCTAATTGTGAACAAAATCATTCAAACGAGGTTTTCCGTAACAGGATTGATACCTGAATTTGGTTTCGCGGACTCTTTCTTGAAAATGACTCGTCCGTTGTGGAATGCAATTAAAGTTGCCGTCATTGGAAGTTTCTTTGCACAGTATTTTGCCACTGAAGCCGAGCCCCTAAAACACCAAAAACATCTCTATCTCTAAAAAAACTCCAACAATATTTTTTTTCTACGGAAAAGAAAAAAAAATCAAGCAATAATATTTTGAGGAAAATCGAACTATGATCCTTAGTTTTTAACACTTACCCAAGCAAGAAACCATTGTTTGCTCCGACTACAACTACAGAGGCAGCACAGAGAACTGCCTCCTTTGCCAGAGTTTTCCTTACGGAAATCCCCTGAGAGACTCGGCCCGCAAGCGAAACCTTAAAATCAATGGAAAATATCAAAAAATAGAATATAGAAATTCTCTAGTTCATGAACAATTGAATAAAAATCAAAGGCACTCACTCCTCTAACGCTTTGATGGATGATTTAGAAGTATTACCGATATCTATAACCAGAGTAGCCCACATTATTATCGGCAAACGAAATGTATGTTCTGAAATAATAAAATTCTAAATTCTAAATTTTTTTTGTGCTAATTTCGACACCTGAAGTACGAGAGACATGAACTGCGACGACTCGATCTCCTTCTTCAGCGGCATTGCTGAGAGCCCAACTGAGCAATTCTCTGCCATTGCCATCAATTTGGATTCCAACCAAAACACACCTTCCTCGTTTAATCCTGATCTCTTTCTCCGCCCTCATAATTCTTAACAAATTATCAACAATAACACTCAGAGTTCGATCGGGGCAAAGAGACCCATTTCAAGAAATTTCAGTTGCGGTCAGCGGAAGAAGAAGAAGGAAGAGAAAGAGAGCCATCGTCATCAATCAAGCAGATATGCACCTAAATCTTGTTCATTTGTCACTCTCTGAATCAAACATTCTTTTTATTATTATTATTTTTTTTTTTTTTCAAACATTGAATTGCCGCCACATATACCATCAGCCCACCCACTCCAACAGAAAATCAAATAAATCCGAGAGAAAATAAATCTGCTTTAATTCGTGTGGGACGCTGATGATGACGGTGGTGATGGAGTATAGCCAGCTGCTGTTTTCTAATACCATAAAGAGGAGGGTTATTTAAGAGGGAGAAAATCATTGAGTTCCTGCGGAACAATATACCCGCTTTCTTTTTCGCGGGGCACCGGTTATGACCGGTCACCGACAAAACGGTGACGAAGGGAAATGGTTATGACCGATCACCGACACGTGGGTTAAAACATAAAAGGAGTGGACGCCGGTAATTTTACAGCTGGTAATTTTACAAAACATATGCCAGGTGTAACTAGGAAGTGTTCTTTCAACTTAAAATCCTAGTGGCACAAACTTTTGACAATCAAGACCTTGATGTCCAAATCATTTACTAATAAGTTTGTTTCCACGTTAATTTGATTAATTCGGTCTTCATTTCATTAATGATTCTAAAGTTGAATTAAAATTAGTTACGTACGATTCATGTACCAAAAACTGATATTCGACGGAAAAACAAATTATGTCAGTAAATAAGTAACAAATTCAATTCTTGTCAATTTCTCCTAGTTAATTGACATCCTTATTTACGTACAAGGAGAAACATAAGGCAATTAAATTAACAATTATCCTGAAAGAAAAACATAATAGGGATTAAAGATCAGTGGTCGATGTCGAGTCAACATCATCTAGCTAGCTATCTCAAGTCTACCTCCGGTCTTATCTAATATTATAGCAAAGAGAATTTAGAGCTCCCATTAATTGGATCAGTACTATCACTAATCTGAGGAATGGAAGTTAACATCACTTTGCATTTTGATACTTTTTCCCTTTCGGTGGTGGTGCGCTGTAGACTCAGGCGAGGAAAGTTGATGCCCTTAATGACTTCATTGCTTTTTGTATCCTATGTATCCCAAGTTGAAAAGGAGAATCATATTGCAATAAGTGCAATGAATCTAACTTGTGTTATATTTGAAAAGGATTTTTTTAAAAAAAGAAACTGTATTTAGAAATAATTAGTAAAATCGACCGTTTTTATAAATAATAAGCAAAATAAACATTTTTTTTATCACATCATCAAAGCTGGTAAAAAATAGATCGATTTTACAAAATATCTTATTTAAAATACACGGGACCAACAGTCCTATGTAATTAGTGAACGCTAATCAAGAGATTACTCTTTAAAATACATGGGACTAGAAGTCCCGTGTATATAACAAATATTTCAATTCGTACCAATGCATATACACGGGACAATCGGTCCCGTGTTTCCGATAGAGATAAATTACACACTTTAAAATACATGGGACTAGTAGTCTGATATATTTTGTTAATCCCCCCCCATACAACCCCGCTCATCCCCCAAATATCATTGCATTTTTGTTGGGATATGTTTGATTGTTTAGAGGTGTATAAAGTTATGTACATGATTTTAAGAAAATTATATGTTTATTGATATTATAATGTTTGGACTTATATATGAGATGAATTTGAAGTTTTTTTACTCACAGGAGATATTGTATATGAACACGAGACAAGGTACAAAACATGTGTGCATGTTTTCCGCATGTTCAAAATATACACGACACTACTAGTCCTGTGTATTTTCTGAGTAGGTTGCAGAATACATGGGACTAACTAAGCTCATAATTAGCAATTAGCAAGTAAAAGGAACTACTAATGTTGTATATTTTAAACATGATATGTTGCAAAATCGACATCTTTTCGGCCAGCCATGATGACGTGGCCAATAAGAGGTTGATTTTGCTAAATAATTAACAAAATAATCGATTTTACTAATTATTTTCTAAAATGAGTCTCTTTTAAAATATTTTCCTTTTCAAAAATATATTCAACACCAACCTATATATAATATGTGGGACTAATTATTTGACAATATTTTTATCATGAAAAGATCGTACGCTTGATTGAACCTTACTAATTTTCTGGGGACAAGTTCAAGTGACATAAAGTTTGATTACTCTTTTCTAAAGGAAGAACGTTATTTAAATATTGATATATGCTATACGCTCTTAACCAATACTTCTACTGAAAAAATAAAATTTAAAATCAACGCAACTCTTATTACTCATTAATTGACCCTCCACATGCTTTCATTGAGAGTTCATTGGAGTCACGTTTCTCGAAGTGCAATCTTGGATGGATTCTCGAACTCGGCGTTGCTCCTAAAGGTGACTACAATGAGCCACCAACACAGTTGACAATTTCATTGTTCCGGGAGAAGTGCACCGAAACCTCCATATACATTGTGCATAAATTATTCAGTTGTGCTGATGGCAGCAGGCACTTCGTTGTCATTAGAAACTAGTACTTCATTGGTTTTTTTTTTTTACAGAGCACTTCGGTCAAATTGTTAGACTTATTTATTTTTATTTTTTGAATTTTATTCCCCTAAAATTTACGTATTTCCACTGGTTCTTTCCAAATGTGAGAATTCTTGTCACAAACATAAGGTCCTCTATGGAATTTTGAAAATGAAGCTCAAATGATCAAAATTGGTGCTTCTTTTAAGATAGATAGGTCGCTGTTCATTCTTGTCTTTATGATTTCTCTCTAAAGTACCTAGTGATTTTAATCAATTACATTGAAGATGAACCAAATTGAATACACTCTATCCACCTAGCAGTAGGCGCCTTTTTAATCCAACATTAATATATACTAGTGTGCGCCCAGTGCGAAGCGTAGTCTTTTTTTTTATCGCTACAGTAATCCTGGTTTTTATTGCTACAGTATATTTTTAATGTTACGGCAATTTTAAATGTTACAGTGATATTTTAAAAAAATGTTACATTATCCCACAACTGCTACATTATATATAGTTTTAAACTGCTACAATAATATTTTTTAAATATGCTGCAGCATCCCGCCTATGCTGCAGTAATATTTTTTTTTGAAAATACCACAGTAATAACGCTACAGTAAACTATTGTCGCATTTACTGTTTGCAAAAGATGGAAATAATAAAAGCTCAAGCTTCAATCAATTCTCACACTATGCAAATCCCTATTTTGTTTGCTTTAAATTAAAAGCTTGGGGAAAAGAGAACAGCTGATTAACGCATCGTAAGTCCAAAGTCTTTTCCACGTAGCTGAAGAAATGGCGAGCACAGTGACGAAGACCGCAGGAAAAATAGTAGGAGATATTTTGGCAGTTTCGCGATTGACCGCGGATGACGCGACGGTCGACCGTAAACGGGCACATGACCGCGAAAAGTCTATTGAAGAAGTGGCGAGCACAGCGACGAAGACCGCAGGAAAAACAGCAGGAGACATTTTGGTAGTTTCACGGTCGACCATGGATGACGTGGTGGTCGACCGCAAACGTGCACACGACTGAGAAAAGTCTCTGGACTTTTCGCGGTCGACCGCGATGGGTTCTACGGTCGACTGGCCAAACCCTGTAGGGGTTTTTAGTCTCGGTCGTTGGATCCGATCGACCACTCGTGGTTCTGTGGTCGACCACGAGTCTTGTCTGCAGTTGAGTTTGGTTTTCTGACCTGTTTTGTTCTGAGTTGATATATAATCTTAATCCTAATTAATTAGGGTTAAACAAGGACGTTTTGAACAGTCTTTGAGAGGGGATTGTTGTATCCAATTATAGGAGAGTTGTGAGAGATCTAGAGACTTTTTAGGGTTTATTTGGTGAGATTTGTAACCCTATTTGTATTCTCTTGATTTTTAATAGTAAGAACTCCCCCCTCCTTGCCCCGTAGACGTAGGCAACTTGCCGAACCACGTAAATTCGCTTGTCTTTCTGTAGTATTGTGTTTGGCTTATTGGTTGTGATTTATCTCGTTCTTGTTCGTGTGGTTTCGAGCTTCCATCGCGCACAACATGTGATATCAGAGCTTCAGGTTTGGCTTGGGGCTTGTTCGAAGGACTTATTGGAGGATTCCTATTTGAAGAGTTAGATCGACAACATGGGAGAAGCAAGCACATCAGGTTCGTCTCTTACGAAGGCGATACAGAGTCTGAGCATCAATAATACGAAGATTGATGTTCTGAAGTTCGACGCAAGATTAATTTTGGTTTATGGAGGTGCCAGACGATGGATGCATTGGATGCACAGAATTTGGAGTCGTTATGGAACAAGCAAATACGATAGAAGTTTGTGCAGTGGATAAAATCATTTTACCAAGTGATTTAGAGCCATTATGGAACATGGTCATTTCAAAGAAAACTAAGAAGATTATAAAAAAAATTTAGCTCAAGAAGGGATCACATGGCGAAGTCCTTAAATTATTGAACAGACTCTTGAAACCGTGCTAGATAAACCCATTAGAACACAAAAGAAGAAGTCTCGAAAATAAAAAAAGAAGAAAATAGTAAAGCTACCTGATTCTTCTATTGAGAAATCAACACTTCAGAAGTGCATAGATTCCCTTGAAGAATATGTTCAGGGCGAAAGGAAGTCAATTCTATTAAAAGAGTTTTTCCCTCTAGAAGCTAAAGAAGAGATCCTCGAAGAAATGGAAGAGGAAACAAAAGTAGAAGTGTGTAGAGAGATATCTCTCATAGCGTTGATGAGGATGAGTTTGAGCATATCATCGAAGAAAGAAATGCCTTTCTTGAAGGCTTTGGTTCAAAATCCTCCTACCAGAGCTCTGAAGAATCAGTTGTAATGAATCGACAAAGATTCCTCCTGTATGAAATTTTTGATGAAGAAATTGATAAGGTCAAGGGACAATCAGACCAAAGCAGAGTGTGGCACGTACTTCTTCAAATCTAGAAAATGTTGGGGTACAAGATAATCAAATCAGAACACTCCAATATTAGGTTGACAATATTGCAAGCACACAAGCTAAAATGGTCAAAGAACTCTCACAAGCGTACAATTCAAAAATTGCTCAAACAAATGAAAGACAAACAATCAACTCTTCGCATGCAAAATATAATGGACAAAATTTTTATAAAAGGAATACATCAAACTCGACGAGAAATTTCCAAGCTACAAAGGAAAATATTGCAAGTCCAATAGAGAATCTATTATGTTTCAAGAAAAATTATGTGAAACTTATATTCTTTCAAGCCATGAAGAGCGGGTTG